TGTGCTCTGCAGGGCTCATGTCAGTCAGTGTGGCCTGAGCTGGCACTGCCCTGGTCACGGCGCTGCCTCAGGTGGGGTTCAGCAGGGGAGCCCACGTGTGGGGAACATCAGTTCACTTCTGACTGCAGTCAGATGATTTATAACAGTACCTATGTGCTATTTTAACAGTTTAACGGTATTTTAACAGTGTACCGTAACCACACTGTGACTGGGAGGCCTGATGTGCTGTCCAAGTTCTCTCTCTGTCTCTCTCCTTGTGCACACCCCCACCAGCTGCAGGACACACCCCTGTGTGTGTGTCAGTGAATACACCACATGCACGAGGACAGAGAGTGTTTCACAGTCATCATATTCCACACCAACTTAGTGGGGATCGTGCTCTTAGTGGGGATCCTGCCATCCCACACTCCTCACAGCATTTTAACTCCACTCACTTGGTCTCAACTGAGAGCACTGTGCACCTTTGCAGCGTTGGCCCTGAATTGCTTGGACTGAACTACCATTACCAACAAGGTTTTATATGTGTTTCAAAGTCCAACAGCAGGCATCCAAGACGTTAGGCTTTTTTTTTTTTTTTTTTTTTTGGGTGAATAGCTGCGAGGGCTGTAAGATCCTAAGGTGGTTTTGTGTACTCAGAAAAATGGCAGTTACTTTTCATCGGTTTTCTGTAACACAAAGTGTACCGAGTTGTGTAAAGCAGAATGGGAAGGTCTGAAAGGTTTCCAACTTTATTTGTGCATGTTTATAACTTTGTACACATTTGCATTAGTCTTGCACAGCGACAGACACCTCTGTAATTCTAATGACTGCACGTGCAATTTAAGTGATTTTAAACCTTAGTGCATGTTTTAATATGTATGCAAAATGTACATATGTGTAAAACTGGCAGAGGTGGAAAATTTACCTCTCAGGGAATGATCTTAACACATGTAAGGAGTCTCGCACATTCCATATTCCGATCGCGCTAAGAACTGAAACTTTAAATTATCTTCATGTGTGTAAGTGTGTGTATTTAAAAGGCGACTGTGGCAACCCTAGTTTCCCCACCTCTAGTACTGACAGTGACTTACATAATGGCTTCTTTAGGGTTCAGTTTGCACTTTGTGTCCGACTAGGAATTCCTTCCTCTGAGCAACTCCCAGTGAATCTTCTGGGTAGCATTTCCATTGAACCCTGTGTGCGCATCTGAAATCATTACAGAATGGCAGCAATCTGGGATTTGTTTAGAAAATCGGTTCCATGTTTGGTTTTGATTCTTCCTGCAGTTAAAATAATGTAAAAATACGAGTCCATCATCTTTGCATTCCAGGGGATGGAATGAGTAGGCTTCTGGAAGGCACAGACTCTGTCTTTGTGGAATACTATTTAGACACTCGTGTGGTTTCTTGAATCAGTGTGGGGAAACATTGGGCTTCACTGAACTTGTGTTTCTTCTTCCGTGTTCTCTTTGGAATGTCACACTACCACTGGGGGAAGATCTGTGCATCCCTTTCAGGTTTCCTCAGAGTCTCCCTCCCTGTCTCTTCCACAAGATGTTGTGAACTGAAATGGATGCGTTTGTCTGATCACCAGTTGTGCATCACTGGAGTTGTATCGGAACATACTCGCAGTTTGTATGGTAGAGACATTTCTAGACTTTCTCACGTTTTTGGAGGAAGGCTAAGATACAGACTTAAGGTTCAATAAATCCTTTTACAGATCTTCCAGAGTGATGTGACCTTGACCAGATTGTTTAACATTCTTGTGCCTTTGTCTCTGCATCTGTAGAATCAATTACCACCTATAGAGATGTCCTGAAACTCCATTTGTCGAGATGTATAAATCATGATCTGTATGATGGAAGTGAAAAGTTTATTCTATATTAATATTTTTACAGGGTGTGTAAGACAGTTCCCAGTAACGCTGATGTTTTTGCTATTGATTTGTGCAAAAGTTAACTTAAGTACTTTTTTTTTTTTTGTTCAGATGGATGTTCTTTGTTCTCTTCTGTGTAGACTGAATGCATGGGGGAAATAGTTCCTTTTGGGGAAAAAGATTTAAGTAATGTGTAACAAGAATATACTTATAAACAAGGGTATTTTTGTACTCCAGTTTGATTTGTCAAGACTTTTTCAAGTGACAGAGGATTTTCTTAGCCCTTTTTCCTCTTCCCATGTGTTAGTTTGCAGAAAATACGTAACTGGATGTAATTCTGAAACCCTCACTCTCCAAGCACAGCCAGTGTGTACAGTCCCTATAGCACCTCCTGTCCCTGTAATTCTGTAGCAAGTAACGGGAACACAGAAAAACTCTTGGCTATAGGGAAGTTAAAACACTCCTTTCTCCCCTGGAACGAGGTAACACTGCGGTAATAAAGGTATTAGTTCTTGCACAAAATTGGCACTTGTTCTGGATTTCCCCTGGAAAATAAATCTCTATTTCTGTGGTCATGTTTATGTGACCTTTAACATAACAATCTGTTTTTTCTCTTGGTTTTAATCCACAGACCATTCCTGTAGTGGTAAGTCCTTCTGCTGGGACAGTGTATGTTCAGACCACAATGCCAGTCCAAGTACGAAGAGTCTAACTGCTAACAAGAAGTCCATACAATTGTTGGAATAAATAAGTCTAATAGAAATGTGAAAAAAATAAACACAGTTCTTTGGATTAACCTCAAAGGTTCAGACTTTAGCTTTGTGTATGTGTACAAAGCATTAATTACACTACATTAATGTAAAGCATTAGTGCTGGCTTAGAAAAGCTGAGGACAGGTAAGATCCGTATTAAATCTATGCTTCTTTTGTAAATAATGTACAATTTGTGGATGTCATTAGAGTACCATCTCCTTTTTATATTTGTATTGACTTTAACTTATAAAGAGTGTTTGAAGTTGGAAAAGGAAGGGTTTAAAACAGCCTTATCACAACCTAACGCTGAAAACTGGTCTTGGGAAACTGCAGTTGTGCATCAAATACTACTAAGAATCTGAACATCTATCTTTGCATTTGGATTGAAAAAAATTTCTGCACTTTGAAGCTCTTGTAGAATTTCTTTGAACAACCAAGTGATGAAGGATACCTTTTTTCAGTTGATTGCATCAGGCAAATTATGACATTTCCAATCTGTGGATCTGAAACGCAAAGATTTACATTGTTTTTCATAACAACCACACTGACAACAATATAATGTTGTTTACAGGTTAAAATTGATTTAAAACTTCATTCAGGCTAAGATCAGAGAAGTTGGAAATTGTAACAGCAGCTGGTTGTAGAATGATTTCTGATCACTGATATCAAAGACTGAGGAAAGTAAAATTTGTTCCCGTGCTTCACAGTTTGCTTATTTTTAAAAAAATTCTCCCGAAGGACTTTGAACAAGAACCAGGTGTGGAGATAAAACACGGATCAGGAAACGTGGGCAAAGGACTTTCGATGCTGGGCCAGAGCATGTCTTATTTATATGATGGCATTTCTGTTTTTTCTGTAAGCATGAAGCAGTGCAGTGTGAGAGGAAGCACCCCCTGCAGATGCTGTTTGTTACACTGAGACTGTAGTCCCATTTTGTATGTTGTGTAAAACGGAAGCATTGAACAAAGCAAAAGGTGATGTATGTATATGAGAAAATTAACTGTATGATATCATTCCAGTACATTCTGTTGTACATTTTTTAGTCATGTTGATTTCTCCCATTGTTTATATAAGAATGCGGTTTGTACAGTCTCCAGCTAGTCCCCAGATTAGAGGGAAAAAAGTATTAGAAGAAGAAGAAAAAAAAAAAAAGGTGAGAACAGAATATTCATTAATTGCAGTTGTGTCAAAACTAGCCTAGCTGGCCTTATTTGTGAAGCATAATTGCTTTTAGCATATGGAAGTATTTTTTCACATTTTCTTTGTATAAAATTTGTATTAAACTTAAATATCTTTTTTGACAATTGTGTTTCTTTGTGATTAAGACAGGTGACACACACGATATGCTTTGGGTTTCTCCAGTTTTCCAAGAAACGTCACAATTTTTTTATTAAACTGTTTTAGAAAAATGCTCTGTGTTCCTGGATTTCCAGTTTTGGTTAAGTCTGGAGGAATGTTCACTTCTGCACAATCTCCAGATCACAGGTAACATCACTTACCTTAGCATCTTCTGTCTCAGAACACCTGCCAAAGTTGAGCTAAAACAAAGCAGCGCTGACATTCTCTAAATAAGAAGTCATTCATGTGTAAAACTCGGCAGGAGACGTTTTCTCTCAGCTTTAACAGCAGCAAAGGTCCATCACTTGTTGAGTAACATTTCTTCACTGTCTGGATTGGGGTTGGACTGATAACAGGTCATTGTTAGGTGGTTTTGGGGGTTAGAAATGGGGAATTGTCATGGTGAGTGCAGTTGCAGCCCTCTATCAGGGCATGAATATTCTTACAGCAAGAAAATCTTGAGGGAAAAAAAAAATTCCACCACACCTGAGAGCAGGAACACCTCTGCTAGAAAAGTGACATTTTGGATGGAGTTGTGCTCTTTACAAACCCCCCAGTGCAGGTACAGGGGTTTGGGTTGTTGCTCCCGACATACAGGGCTGATGTTTCACAGCTGCTGTGTGGCTGCTGCCTTCTGAGCCAAAGACTGAGACTGGATTAATTTAAGATCAGATTTTCTGCTTTAGTTTGGCAGAAAAATCCCCTCTCAGTGGTGGGTTTCTCTAAATGTTTTTGTAGAGATTCGGAGGATCCCTCAGGCTTGTGTAGCACTTGTGTCGGATCTGTAACTCGTGCAGGCCTTACTTGTTTGATCTCATTAGACGAGGGTGTTGTAGCACTTGTTGCATCTCTGCCACCTGGTTCCAGCGAGGCTTTGGTCCTCCTGAGGTTGTCTGGTGCCACAGCCAGCAACAATCAGCAATTTTCAAAGTGAATGAGACATTCATGCGGGCCCAGAGAATTAAAATGTTTTGGCAGCAAAATTAACAGCCCAGCCTTGAAACATATTCCACACATACCTCTAGACCCAGCAGTGGTGGCAGAAAAGGCAGGTAATCTAGTCCCCCAAAATGTAAACATGTTTTTATTTAATGCCTTTCCACTCATCACAAGGTACTTTTTTTTTTCCCCGACCCCAAGACGGCAGCGTAAGGCACCGTGCAGACACATGCACGGTGCTCACACCATCCTGGCAAGGCTCAAAAACACAGCTACAGTTCTCACCAACAGTGCCATGTGTCCTTACTACTCGTGTACACAAGATGATTCTCCCCCAGAGCTCGTTCTGGAGAAACGGACGATTAATTTAGAACAGTAAGACTTTCCCCACCCTCCCCCCTTCCCCAGCCCCGAAAAGCCAGATTAAAAACACAGGTACAGAGCTTAATACCAGAGTAATGAGATTAGTTCATAAATTAAAAAAATAGGAAAAAAAAAATCAACAGTTTCACTCTTATTTTCAGAAGGTCCCATTTGATGTCATGGACTGTGCAGAGACTCCTTGCTGTGTCCTTTTCCCCTTTCAAAACCAAGAAAGCTGACAGGGAGGGCCAGACTTTGTAGCATTTGTTGTTGATGGCAAAAAGGCCATTAGAGCTCTGTGCCTCCAACTGAGCCAGCAACTGCAGCATCCCAGCGACTGAGCAGAAGGTTTTTCCTCTGTCCAAAGGAAGGAGGACTTGAGACAATGTTCTTTGGCTGCAAGTTCTTAAAGGCTTCCACTGAAAGGGTTCTCCTTCAAAAAAAAGAAAAACTGCAGTTGCTGTGGGATTTTTTTTTTTGTTGTTTTTTTTTCTTTTTAAACTGAGAAAATGCTGAGGAATAGGTGGAACCGCTGTAATAGTCTGAGTGAAGCCCTCCCAGTGCTAAGATGTTGGGGTCTGCTACAAATATTCAAGTTCCAAGGCGTGCCGAAGAGCTTCCAGGTCAGCGTGACAAGAGATTCTCCAGAAGGGCATGTTGTGCTAGAGTGAAACCAAAAGAGGGGATTTTTTTGGTTTTGTTTTTCCGTATTAATACTGAGATCAAAACAACTTGCTTAGTTTGCACCCTCAGGAACAGAGCTTTGTGCTTGGCCACCAGGTTGTCACGGTGCCACAGGCAAGAGGCTCATCTTAGAGGGGAGGGAAGGGACAGAGGGAGGGGGTGGGAAGAGTCTCTTTTTTGCTGCTCTGTTCCTCCTCTGCAGGAGGACATATTTACAATTTAGGAGCCTCCTGCCTCACAAATGATGGGGGATGTGAGCTCACTTTCTGAATGTTCCCACAGCACTTAGTCCCTTCCAGCATGGGAATAACACTCCTGAGAGTCTTTTAGCACTAAGAATTCACCTGTAACCACCCTGCTTCTGGATAAACAGCTTCCACAAAGCTTCAAAGAACATCTACTTCCTAGATAGATGACTCTGATGGAGATGTTCCTTTTCCTATTGGACCTACTCGTGTACAAAAAAAAAACTCTCAATGGTTCCAGATATTTATGTAACAGAGGGTCTAATGTTTAAATAAAACTCAAGCTTCCCTCTGGTATGTTGCCTATCAGTAAACAAATCTTTCCTTCCAGTTATTTATCAGTGTGTTTAGAGAGAGCAAACAAACCCAGACAGCTGAAGTGACTGAAATCCACTGCTCTGCAATTTCACTTTAAGGGGAAAAGTTATTTCCTTCTCACTCCCCTGGTTGCTATTAAACCCCTTCCATTTAATTAGCTATTCTTCTTTCTTAAACCAGAAGAAATCTTGGCCTCCCAGCCCCTCCTGTTGTCCAGCAGTTACAGATTTATCACTCATCAGACAGGTGAAGAAAAATGACTCCCAAAAGCGGAGATATTATCAGTGCTGTCGGCAAACCAGCGAAAGGCCTCTGCCTGTCCCCTCCCTTTCTTGTTTGTTTTTTCCCCTGTATAAAACTCAGGTGTGTGGAAGCTTTGATTAATGAGTGCCATCAATCAAAGGAGGCGACAGCCCAGCAAAGAATGTGCTCTACTAATGGGAGAGCTGCTGAGACAGGAGACAGGAGCAAGAGGCTCTTGGAATCCTGGCACAGGAGGCTGGTGAACCTTCCCAAATTCCCAAGGAGGCAGAGAGCCCCTGCAGCCTTTGATGGAGTCCTGGCCACTGACCCACTGCCTTTGAAGTGTGGCACTGAGCTGTCACAAGCAGCAGCCCATTACCACTTCAGCCCCAGTCATGCATTCTGGACTCTTCCCTGACAGCTCCTTAACCCTTCATGAACTACAGAACCACCTGCAGTTTGAGGCAGTTTTCCTAGGTGGGTCCAGATATTGTTGCTTCAGTTGGCCACTGTGAAAAACAGGGTTTCTGCTGCACTGGAGGCAACCTGAGATACAGTTCTGGGGACAGAACACATGCCCATCACCTTATTTGCTGGGATCCCTTTGCTCCTGGGTTTATGCAACCAAAAAAGCTCAAATTTGCTTGGAAAGTCTTTGCAGGATCAGTCAAAATGTGACACCAGCACAAGGTTCAGCTGTGTAAGCTGAGCTCCTGTGATACAATATTTCACACCTCACCTGAGCTACACCATTAAAAATGAATTAGGTTGCTGAAGATGGGGTTCATCCAGTCAGTTCCTGCATCCCAACTCCTGTGCAACGCTCCCAAAGCAAATGCAGCTCCAGCACACCTCTGCAGTCACACCAGGAGCACAAGACCCAGGATGCACAAAGACACCTTGCAAGTAACCTTTGCCATTAACAAATTGTGCTCCTGTCCCTGCAAAGCCAAATAAATGCCATTCACAGACTGTACCTTTTTTGCTCCTTGTTCCTCTTCAACACCGTCTCCTATTACAACGTACACGGCTTTCCTGCCGAACCTCTGCATTATCCTTTCAAAGCAGCTCTCTTTCCCTAAGCAACACAAGAGGAGGCACATTTTTCTCATCTGGACACACGCTGCAGGCAGAGCTGACATTCAGGTGCTGGACATTTCAGCCTGTCTTTGGTGAGGCCTAAATCGGTTTGCTCTTACCTGTTTTTGTTGCACTGTAAATGTTTTCAATGGGGAAGACAGTGCCCAGTCCATAGAGAAGCACTTTAGCAAGAGCTGGTATGAGCTGAGTTGTGGTGACCAACACATTCACACAGTTGGGCCTGGAAAACAAAAGTAGTCATTGGAAGGGGCAATCTGTGTTTCTCTCTTGCACTCTGGACTGAAAGATGGTAGGAAGCAAACCTTTCCTGCCACTGGAAGTTCCCAAGCCAGGGGGGGATTATGCAGAGCCAGAGGCAGATAATGTGAGTACCAGAAATGCCTTTTGATCAGCTCAGCAGAATGAAAAAAACATAAACCAAACTAGCAGCAGTGATGGAGCCTTACTGAACACTTGCCAGGATCTATCTGGTGGGAAATTAAACACCACCAAGTAACATCCTATGTGCTGGGCTCTCTGAGTGAAGGTGCTCAGGGACAGAAGGGCTCTTTTCTCCCTTCCCTCCTTTGTAAATCTTGCTCTCACAAAAACGGTGCCACAGATGAGAGAGCCAAGGAAAAGGCAAGGAAAAGGCCAGTTTCTCTTTTGCTCAGTTCATCATCCCCAGCTCACCCCAAGCCCTGATAATTCAAGCCTGGCAAACATGTGCAGACCGGCCTCCCACAGGCTTGGCCGGCCAAGTCCTATAAATGTGTCCCCATTTGTTTAGAGGGGGGAAAACAAGGGAAGCAAAAGAGCTCCTGGATCAAACCTGTGGGCAATTCTTTGAGCTGCTCTTACCGGGAATGTATCAAATTCAGCGCCTTCAGAGCATGTGTGAGCCAGAGATCAGTCAGCGCCTCCAGTTCTGCTCTCAACTGCAGCCAGGTTTCCCTCTTAGGAGCTCCTATTAAACCTGTAGGCAGGGAAAGTGTCTTTGCAGAAGCACAGGAAGGGAAGTGCGTGGATTTGTAAAGCAGAACGCCAAAGGGCTCCTGTCTGTGCTCAGAGCTCTCCCAGTGCCCATCCCTCGCTCCTGGTGCCACCTCCTTCCCTTTGGGCACTGCTTTCCTGGGCTGCAGCAGCTCAGCTCCCTCCTTCCCTGGGGAAGGGCTCAGCCAGCCACAGGCTGCAGGACCTCCCTGGAATGCCTTCCTTGGAGTGAGCACAAAGCTTCCAAGGGAAGTGAGCAAGAGGATGGAAGGACTGGGTAATGTGGGCAGTGACCTGGGCAGAGAGACACCTGAGGCCAGGGTGGGTTTGTTTCTCCTGAAAAGCCACGTCCCATTACCAGCACATGTGGGGTAGGCTTGTCCTCCAACCAAAAAAATAGGCTGTGGTGATACTCTGAGTCTGGCTTCTTTCTAATCAGAGACCTGCACTGATGTTCTGAAAGAGAAGCAGAGCAGCCTTTTGGAAGAGCTGTCTGGGACAAGGTGAGATGAAGGAACCCAGGGCATCCTGATATCCAGTAGTATTGTTTTGGGGCGAGTTAAAAACAAACAGTTATGACATTAAAGAATGCCTCAGACAGAGACCAGCCATGGGTTCTGTGGAAAAACAATAATATTTCATTTTTCACTGTCTGCTTGCTTACTAAACATTCTGCAAAATTGGAGAAGGTTGCTTTTCCTGCCAAATAAATCACAAAATAAAGTCCCACACTCGTGACTTGAGTCCCCCTCAAACCCCTAAACTGGGTATTTGAGTTTGAGTCCTGCAAACCTGCACAGAGGTGTGTTAAAGGATGCCTGAGGACCACACTTCCTCAGCTCCCCGTGAAGCACTTCCATTGTGAGGTTCCCTACACCTCCTCCAGAGATGTCCCTGCAGGGGCAGAAGATTTTTTGGGAGGATGAAAGGCAGGCTGGGACAGACACTCACCCCCCACGTTGTTTTTGTAGGTGTTGTACATTTCTTTCACCCGACGGTAGCGAAAGGCCAATTTCCTCATCCAGTCAACTCCCCCGTGAACTCCCGAGCCCAGACACAGGTTTGCACTGGCAGTGGAGCTGTGGAAGCCATCTGCAGAGAAGTTATACGTGCTGGGAGAGGGGGGAGGGAAGGGGAGAGGTCAGTGTAATTACAGGCTGTGCAGCGCCAGCAGGGAGGGGAGACAATTGAAAAGAAAGGGGGAGACAAGTGGCAGCAGAGACACACACAGGACATGCTGTACAGTTCATCTGGAGCACAATTAATAGCACAGATCTAAAAAAAAAGAAAAATGTTCCTTTTTCTGCACCAATTTCTCACAGTAAACCATCCGTAAAACCACAAACGACAAGGCTCTATGTGAGTTCTGCTCATTTCATTCTTGTCCCATGACTCTGAAGGCACCACTTTGGGAAAGGTAGAGGGAATTGCACAGAAGTAGTTTCTGTGAACAGGATGACCTAACTTACACAGATGTTTGGTGCAGGTTTGGTACCAGTTTCTGCCAGTGAAACCATCTGGCACAGCAAAGTCCAGCTCCTCCCTGCAGATGGGGCAGTGGGAAACCTTTCACTCTGGTTTTGAAGCATTCCAGCCACATCTGTGACACCTGCCTGGTCAAATCATACCAGAAACTGGGGTGGTGTTCAACCTAATTTAGATGTATTTCCCAGAGTGGTTCAAAGCTCAGAGCAGTCAGGCCTGGCAGAAGGCACAGCAGTGTGAGGAAGGGGACTCTGTGCTTCTGTTTGATAAAGGCAGACAGCACAAGGAGGGAGGGGATGGGAGTGCATGTTTGAGAATCACTGGCCAGCCCCCCACTATTTCCAAACAGCTGGGGTCTACCAGAGCTGCAGCTTCCAGAGATTCCATACCTGAGATCCTGACCATTATCATCTGATGATACATCATCTATGTGGATCTGGTCACAGTCCTGGGAAGAGTATGAAAATAAATACAGTGAGGAAAAATGTTTTGAAAAAGAAAAAAATTAAAAAATGAAGTAATATAATGCAAAACTACTTAAAAATTAAGGAGATAAGATCTTACATATTGCTAGTATTGTCTGGCTTAGTCTAGCCAGTTAACTGCTAGGGACAAGTATCACATAGCACAAAACATGAACAGACAGAGAATGTGTGTGAGAGATCTGCTGTTATCTAAGGGCACAACAGCCCTTGGAAAACACAGTAAGTGGAACTCCTTCCTATGCAGACAGGAGGGAGAGAGATGCTTGTGTTTCAGCCAGGAAAGCTGTGGTTTTTTTCAACTCTGCATGCATGATAAGGCAGAAATCTGGCAGCCTCTCCCCCTGTGAGAATACTGCCTCAGACAGGAGGTGTGTGCCCACAAAATTACAGGGCGAGAGGATCCGTCCCAAAGAAACTTCCAGAGCCTCCTGTCCTGCCAGTGCTTTCCCAGTTTGTTCTGAGGGGGCTGAGCTGCCCGTGCTGTGCAGGGGAGCTGGGCTGAAGCACTGAGAGCAGCATCCTTTCACTGCCCCAGCCACAGCTCAGGAATGCTGGGAGTCAGCAGTGAGGAACTCTGTGCACAGGACACTCAACCAGAATATCCACTTGGAGCTCGGCCTGCAGTGGAGTTGTGTGCTCTGATCTTATCTTCCCAAATTCTTCACTGCTTGAATGGGGGAGGCCCTGCCTCAAAAATGTGAGAAATGTCATTCCTTTGGTCCATTTCCTATCAGGAAGGTTCCCCCACCACCTTAACTCTCCTTTCTCCGAGACCCTGGGAGGTGAGAACACAACACAAAGCCTGCAAGCTGATGAACACCACCTCTTGTTTTGGCTGATTTTTCAACAGAGGTGGAAAGGTGTTGCACCTGGTACAACAACAACAACAACTGCACCTAACCAAGACACAGTAATTCTTCCCCACTTCAGTGTTCTGTAAACCACAGAATTTGTTTCACCTCCCTTACACAATTGTGAGTTTGATGAATTACTTTAAACCAGCCCCTTTCAAAAAAAAAGAATAAATGCCCAAACAAGTAACTAAACTTGCTATCAATGGCAAAACACGACAGATAGTTCTTGTCCATAACGAGGAGATTTTCTCCACCACTTATTTTAGATAATTCTCAGAAAAGACACACAATTTTATCTTGTTCTCATCTCATCAGCCCTTTTATCAACCTATCACTGGAGTGTATATTTCTGCACATAACTGGAGCCAAGCAGCTGAACAGCAGATCTCTGCTGGCACCTCTCTCTCTCTCTCTTTTCCACCCCCCTAAATCTTTAAGCCCCTCTCCCAATAGCTGCTGTGAACCAGGCTGGGATAACACTGATGCAGCCCACCCCACTCCAGTTGTACAGAGCAGGGCATTAAGTCAGGGGAAAGGTATTTGTGGAGGGATCTGTTTTTCTCATTTGTGAATGAATTGTTCTGTACACTCAAGTGTGACAACAGTAGCTATCACATTTCCAAGTTAATAAAATACCATGACACTGGGTGAGACGCTACCTCATAGTCCTCTGGCTGAGCCTCTCGTGTTACTGGGGGGAACTGGGGGAACTGGCAGCAGCAAGGACGTGGACCATGTTTTACTACTTGGTTACAAGACTGATTTTTCATCCTTGCAGAATTTCCTTGAAATCTCAGTGAGCAAGGGAGTCAGGGCAGGATATCTGGGCCGCTGAAGGGAAGGTCCAGATTGTTGGAATGGAGGTCTGTGATGGGGACATATCCCAGTTTTCACAGCCCCTGATGTTCTGAAATGATGCCTGTGACTGATTCAAACCTCACTCAACCCTCACAGCTCTGGGCACTGAACTGTTTGGACTGTTGGGGTATCTCTGGGTGCTCAACCTCCCTCCAGGTGGGACCAGACCCTCGAACCCAGGTGAAAAGGAGCCTGAGCTGATGCAGCTTTGAAATGGCACTGCTGGCTGGGACAAAGCCTCTGCTGCCTCCCTGGGAAATACAGGCTGTTTCCAGGATTCAAGGAGGAGCTGCTTCTGTTCTCCCTCACACTCCCTCTGAGTACTCCCAAGGTATGTCTCATGCACATATGAACACAACTGATGAGCACACACGTGTTCCATTTGTGTATCAGAGCTGTGCTAGAGATTTCAAACCATCTGATTCACTGATTAGTGGAGCTTTCACCCCTCATTAGGCAGAGGGGGTGGAACAGTTCCCAACAACACAAAACCTCCAGGGATGGCTCTGAAAGGCAGTAATTGTAAACACACTAATCCCCTTGTTCGTTAATTCCTCATCCCCCTGTCAGTCCTCCTGTCCTCAGTACCTGTTTCCCAGAGTGTTAGTCAATAATACCTCCAGAGGGACTGGGGGTGGAAGGTGCTGCTCTTCAGCCATCAGTATACCATCAACAAAAGGCATCTTGGGAGGAAAAGCACAGCTAGAAAGCCCAGAGTTTGTATTTTAACTTCCCTGAGATTTGCAGCCACTGTGATTTACAAGCTGTGATTTACCACCACTCTCTGGAGGGGTTGGGCAGCATCTCCTCTGCTCCCTCCCCTGGCTGCACCATCAGCACCAAGGCCAGCCGTGCTCTGGTGAGTGAAATCTGCTGGACACCCCCAGCCACCCCAACTGTGGATCTGTGCCAGAGAAATGCTGACTGTGTGTAGTGTTACCTGGTAAAAGAACTCTTGGTCTGGTCTCGAATGGGCAGCTCTCCTGCTGCTTTCTCAGTTACAGCCCCTTTCACTCTGCCCCAGCACAGAAGATGGTCAGAAATGGCTTCAACCCTGGGCAGTTTTACCTTATTTTGTCTTGTACAGGCCAGCATTACACCACATGATGGTGCTAATGTATATGGTAATGCTTGTGGGCCTTTCAACTGAAGCTGCTCCTGTGCTGGTTTTTACCAATTCTTTTTTTTTGGTTGTTTTTAAGAATATCATTCACTGCACTCTCTTTAAGCCCAGGACTCAGTGATGTATCATTACAAGATGTATCATTCTTAACTATCACTTTGGGAATACACAAACCTGACTTTTATTTATCATCCTAACTGAAGGAGGAGGGTGGGGTTTTTGCTTCCTATAAGAGACAGTCAGGTGCAGGGATTTTATGTTGGTCTTTTACGTTGCAACTCCCCAATTTCATCCTGCAGTGCAGTGCAAATGAGTTTCTCCAAGAACAGGACCACTTTCAAAACCCCTGCACTGGCTCACAGCTGATTGCTGCCTGCCCCATAGGATCTGTGCTGATTTACCTTCACAAAATGATTAAATAGCAAATTTCAGGAGAAGCAGCAGCAACGTCCTCATTATTAGATTTAGCAAACCTGTCCAAAAGCCATCATTGCTACTGTGTATTTAGCAAAAAATTCCTTAACAGACTGAAGATGTCAAGGGGACCCACTGAGAATGCTTCCAATAAGCCACCTAATGCCCATTTCTTTAGGGTCAAAACCAAAAACTTCTTGCCCAAAAAACCAACAAGTTTGTAGATCACAGGCAAATGATTAGAGAGAGAGAGATGTTAAATAAAATAAGCAGCCACATACCTCCAGGTCATTAAAGAACAGATGTGTATCTGCAAGGTTGAAGATCATTTCTTCCATCATAAGACCAATCCGCACGGATGTCGTGGTGTCCTGCAAGGAGAAAATCAGGTTTTTATCACTCACTTTGATTTTCTTTTTTTTCGGGGGGACAGGGGTGGGATATGTTAAAGCAAACATATGCCTGTTTACATTTATTAAAGTAATTTCATTTCCCAAGTGTATCTCAACATTAACATGATTTTCACATTCTTTCTTTTGCTCTCCTTAGATGAACAAATTCTGTTCTTGGACGGATGTCTGTAACTCACCCTGACCAAAAACAGCCCACATACTTCAGATGATATGAAGATCCTGAAACTATATAAGAATTGCTTCAGTAGGCTAGACAAAAAAACTGGTTCCCATCATTAGTGGAAGGTTTGGGGATAGTTACAAGCAGCAGGGTGCACAGAGGGTGATCCTTTCCTGCACTGTCCATCAAAACCAGTCATTTCATCCCCACTGAAGCTGCCTACTTATTGAACAGCATCAGCAGAGCTGAAACTACCCCATCCTACCACACAAGGTTACCAGCATTCATTTAATTCTTTTATTCATTAAATCCTCCAAAAACATAAGCAAAACCAGTCTGTGGTCAATCTGATAAACACTCACAGCTCAAAAGCATTGTGCCTGTTCAAGCTAAACAACAACAGACAACCTGGGGAAAAAAAAAAAGGCATTCCCACAACAGGGTTTTTTTTTGTTAATTCTTCTTCATTAAGGTTGGGGATCTCTCATCTTTATGTTCAAGTGGGTGGTTTTCCTCTACTGAAGTCACAAGCCATGCTAAAAGCAGGGCATATTTTTATGTAGTCTCTAATTTTCTGCAGATTTCTGTGGAGTCCTGTTATTGTCTGAGAGGACAGTAATGAATTAACTGAGCAGCCCTAACAGGGAGCACAGTGTTGGGAGGATGGGCACATTTCAATCAACCTTTGTGGCAGAGGCTGTTGACATGGAGGGTGTATTACACACTAACCTAATTATTACGCATTCTTGGTGTAGTTCTCTTTAATTAGAGCAGAATGGCTGTGGTTTTAGCCATGTGTGTGACTCACAAGCACTGTGCCCATTAAGGAAAAGCTCTGTCACTCCCGTTTGAACGTGACTGTTGCTGCCCCAGAAGGAAGGGTACTGTCTCCTCTGGGCAAAAAGCAACAAAATCCAACAGCCCTGCCTTGTCTCTAATTTTAAGCCCCAAAGCTGCTCCCCTGACGAGGCACAGGGACACAGGAGGAACCAGGACATCTGACTGTGGCCCCAAGCAAAGAGCACTGAATCAAATTTTACTGCCCAGGTGTGGTTACACCAGGGAACTGTTTTGAAGAAAATACGCTGCTAGGAAGAGATTATTTTGTAAAATAGTTTTTAATGGAGCAATTTATTTTTGTACATTTCAAGGATCATTAGCCTTTAAAACTCTTTCAGGAAATCTCATTGGTTGGGTACCTGTCATTTATCCTCTAAGCTTTGTCTTTAGCTTTATTGGTATTAATCACTAATGGGGAGTAGGAAACATTTCCACAGTGTATGAAGTTACCTTCTCTTAAACTAAACAATATGGAAACCAAACTGCAGATGAGAGGGAAGGAAGAAAAAAAAAACCACCACCCTTTCTCTTGAGATACAGAATATGATGGAATGAAAACAAAACAGAAAAATGCACTTTACCACCCAGAGGGGAAGTCGTTTGGGGAAATGATTTGGCACCACTGCTTTCACAGTATGGACATTTCCTCCCCAGCAAGGCAGGTTTCCAAGTCTTAAAGAGGCTGATAAAGTTAAGAGGCCAATCAGCACTCCCAGTATGACAGAGGTGTCTAGAGGCACTAGCCCAGGGTTCCTCCAGCCATTATTTATTTGCATTACTGCAGCACCTACAAGCACTGGTCCCAGACTGGAACCCCACTGTGCCACAGGTTGTACCCACACTGGGTAAAGACAGGGTCACTGTAGCTGTCAATTCAACTACAAACAAACAGGAAAATCAGACTGGCAGGAGAGCACCCACGTGAGACAGGTGTATCAATCAATGTGTTGTCCAAATTCCCTGCACAGCGTGTAAAATAACCCGAAAGAGGATGATGAAATTTGCCTGCAGATGTTGACACAGAGCTCTTGCCAGGCACAGAAATCCTGTGCCACTGAAGGACATCCCTGTGCTGCTGGGGATGCTACTGGCTCTGCAGGAGCAGTGTGAGTTCAGCAGAGCAACATAAAGTTGTTGCCACACTTGTCCCAGCGATCCCTGCCAACACGTCCTTCCGTAGGAAAAGCATGCCCTGGAGCTCTGGGAACAAACTCCCTGGCTAACAGACCCAGCCAGTGTTTCCTGATGCATGTGAAGCCCAAGGACCACAGCCAGCCTGAAATCAAATCTCCTCCAGGAACCACTTCTTACAGTGAAAACAGATTAATCTAAAAACTCACCCCCCAGTGCTTGTTTAGTAACTCTAGAAGAGTGAGGTTCTCCCTCTGCTGATCTACAAGTCATGCTCTCACAAACAGGGACAATGGGAGGCAGGGGTGGAAAACAGGCAATAAACTCCTTCTGTAAATAAAACTTGCAGCAGCACAGTGGATCCCCACCTGCCTCTCCTCTGCCACGCACCGATGCTGGAGCTTCCCTGAGGCTCAAAATTAAAACACTTCCAGTGTGAACCTCTGGTGCTCAGACATGACCAGGCATTCCTGACCCTCCAATGCACGGCCTGAACAGCGATTTGAAGTCAAGGACGTCCTCTGAGCTAATAACACCTTGCCTAAAATTAATTTCTGTTTTCATTCTGACCCCTCGTTCCAGGTAACTATGACAGGAGATGTCTAAAAGGAGCTTGTTGAACAGCCTTCAGCTTGTCTGTGCTTAAAGATGATTTCCACAAAAACTGGAGGTGAGCAAAGAACAAATATTTCCCCATGACAGTGGTGAGTTAAAAAGTTTCACCATGAGAAACTTTTTTAGCAGAGCAAAGGGAATGCAGGATGTGCATGCACACCCAACTTAGGGTACAAATAGCTGCCAGCACGTTCCAAAATGGGCTGTGTTGGTCTCTAGATCCTTTTTCAGGAGCTACCCTGCCCAGAAGCCGGCTCAGACTGCAGCACCAGCATCCTCCCAAAAGGCTCCCTATTACAACATTCTCCTGAAACACAGAGAATTCACAAACTGCTTATTCTTGCCCTAGAATATGCATTGAAAAGACATGTATTTGTTAACACCTGCAGCTCCCACTAATCCAGTTGGCTGCCTGTGCACAGCCAGCCCTCCCCTCTTGTACCCTGGAATTCTGAAAGGAAGAGGGAAGCAATCTTATCTCTGGCAATCTCTCAAGTGCAAGTCACTCTTGCCTCCAATCCTGCATCCAAAGCCCATTCCAAGCCTCTGCCTTGCAGGTCCCCTGTTCAGACTTGCAGGCCATCAGCAAAGGGGCAGAACTGGCTCCTCTGAGATGGATAACAACTCAGCTTGTTGTCTGGCTCTGCCTCCATTCAGCAACGTGACAATTAACTCGACAGTCAAATTGCCGGGACAAAGTCATTCTGAGCGTGGATCTTGGACTCAGACACCACCACTTCCCTTAAAAAAAAACCCCACCAAAATAAAGCCCTGGTATTTTAAACTAATCAGTCTTTTTAAATCCCTGCCAAATACCTATTTATGCCGTGAGCAAATAATTACTTTTCTACAAGGAAGAAAGTATTAATTAAGAGTATTCATCAGACTCCTATTCTCCAGGGTTTACCTGCCACAGGTGTCAGCCAGAGGTGAGAGACGGATTAGTACACAATCAAGGGCTTTCCAAGTTAAATCTCCTCCTTGTGGGTAGCTGTTAGTAATGAAGTTGTCACCAAAAGAAAGAATTTAATAGTTTTAATTGGGTGTAATTACTTGGAAACTCCTGGAAAGTGGACCAGCTTGGCTGTAGTATAAAAATGATAATAATAATTAAAAAAAAGCAAAAGATACAAATACCAGGGCCACATGTTTGAACAAAAAAGGGTCTGTGAGAATAATCACTCTTTTGCTGTAACATTTTATACCTTGGTGAAAACCTGAGGCATGAACAAGACTTTCCCATAATAATGGGATATTAACCATGTGTATCAGTTCTAGTTCAAGTAAGACCATGTCTTTTTGAGGAAGAAAACACATTTACCTCTTTCACTGACTACACTTAAGTAGCTAAGCTTGCAATTTTATCTTTTTAATAACACAGGCTAGAGCCAGATTGAGCCTCTCAGAGCTTTTCCAGTAAAGAAGTGGGTATTTGCTAGATGGACAGCAAATATAATTTAACCCCTTTTCTTCAGATACCTTTTCATATTCACCCTTACTGTGATTTAAAGGAGTGCTTCCAATATTTACTGAAGTACTCTCTTTACTGTCATATATCTGTTCACCTTGGAAATTACTCCAATAAGCAAATGGGCAGGTAGGTCACAAAATCCTGCCATTCAAAGGCAGATGGAGGTTGAAAAGCTTCTCCTCCTAAAGGAACTATGCTCATGGACAGGCAGCAATGACTACAATAATTTACCCCATGTCTCAACTCACAAAATCCAAAATGGATTCCAGTCCTGTGGCAGTACTGTACTTAAATACAGGTTAAAAGCTGGGCCACGATGCTTGAGGATACATGGCAATTATTTTTATTTAGTAATACAAAATGTTCATGACCAAAAATAATTTCTTCATACTATGCATGGCATACATTTCAGAGGAGGGAGTGGAATTTAAACTAAACTGATCTTCATTTCCTTCCCCTCCCCACAGGAAAATCACTGAATTTTGATATGAAAGACCTTGATAGCTCTGTGAAAAACACAAAACTCCTGGAAAGCTTGGTGGAAAAACACCACGAAGTGGAACCCTCAGCACAACAGCACATTTGGCTCATGTAGTTTCCTAAAACAAGTCAGCTCCCTTTGTTTGTTTGTTTGTTAACTATTTTTCCCAGCTGGAAAGCAGGTTCCCTTTTTTTGGGGGGGGATTTCAAAGTTTCCCTTGTGCTTGGTTAATAACCCGGCATTGTTTCCGACACGTATTTTACGTCAGAAAAAATCCTTTAATAGTTCCAAATGCCACACGTGCACTTTGCTCAGAAGACCCCCCGCCCCTCCCTCGCTCTCCTAAGCTGCAGAACAAGAGGTTACATCCACAGGAGCTCTGAGCATCTCCTGTGCTCACCATCCCACCTGCTCTGGCTGCTCCCCATCAGCCGCCCCAGATGACAAACGCAGACGCCCGCTCCCGAAATCCACGGCTGGAACAGTCACGTGGCCGGAATTATTTACTCCCTTCTCTCCAATAATGAGCTAAATAATTGATATAGCAGCATGTCTAAAGTCACAGGCCCCTTTATTACCTGCAGTGATTGAATGCTTTTTTAATTTCACTTAAAAAGGCATTAAACACAAGGTTTAGCCTCCAGTGGGTAAAAAAAATCTCCAACTTCCTCAGAAAATCCTTTCCAAATTGTATTCATCTTGACTTAATCCGTGATCTACTGAGTGAATTAGGCTCTATTTGTTTTGAAAATCTATTTTATGGAGTTCCAAGGACTGTGTTTTCCTTAGGAAGGGGCTTATTCTGCCTCTCTGCCCAGGATGCCGGCGAGCAGAGGCCTCCGCAGGTTTTGAACGTCCCAAGGTGCCCCACACATATGACTAACAAAATGTAAATAAACACAGCTGAGCCAGGAAGAAATTGGAAGGTTTTCTCATTAAAGAAATAAAATAAACAGATGTCCTTAAGCACTTTGGCTCATGTTTGTCAAAGGAATGGAAAACTCTCAGATGTTTGAACAGCAGTCATGATATAAGGCCACATCTCAAGCGAGAGGAGAAGGAAAAAAGCGACTCCATGGCACTTAGAATTAACTAATAGTTCTCAAGGGAGGCCCCTTTTGATTTGAACCTTAGCAACTTCTACAAATAGTTTTTAACAGCCGGGCAATAAAATGGGGTTTTATTCCTTCTCAGTTTGTAAAGCAGTAAAGGACAGACTCGGCCATTAGAAGCATGAATCACCATCAGATTTGATTAAATCCCCATGGTGTTCCAATCAGGTCCTGGCTTTAGGGTCCTGTGAGAGAACAAAGCAGGGAAAAGCACAAGCTACTTGAAGCATTCAATGAAAAGTAGGGAAAAAACCCCAAGAAATTAAAAAAAAAAATCAAACCTAGGGTTTTACAAGGATCTCCAGTAGAGCCAAGGAGGAACTTTTCAATGACTTTTTCTTTTTTTTAAAAAAATTGGAAATTATAATTCATTTAAAGGAAAACGTTTTTTTAAGAACATATAACTGTCAGTGAAACTGTTGAGGAATGAGGTTTCCTAGATCCAGAAAATCATAACAAGGCAGGCCAGTTCACAGCCAGCCAGCACAGAGCAGCCATGGCATTTGCTTAAAGGCTAGAAAATCATGTTTATGTCCTGTCCTCAACTGGGCCAAGCAGAAAGAGGTGTTATTCTTCAGCTTGAACAACTTCACAGAGTAATTCTTTGAGCACCTGCACAGCAGCTCTACAGGATGACACTGGGACATAAATGTTGGTCAGGGGAATGGTCATGATCCTATAAACAGATGTTCTCTGGAGGAAGACATCCTGAGGTTCAATTATAAGCATGTGCATGTCTAATTACAGGCATGTGAATCTTTTATGATCAGTCATGGACAAAAAAATAAGAGTTTAGGTCTTGATACTTAATTTACTTTGAGATTAACACTTCCTATGCTATTGAAGGAAGAGATTATGAAACTATTAACCTCTGACTCTGTTACACTTGTACCTGATATATTTGAATTGTGTTACTATTTAACAGTTCCCAGGACAGCCTGTCTGAATGTGCTGTATTTCCCTCTTGGTTTAAGGTCTGTTCCAAAGCCCACCAAACCTTCTGGTTGTCTTTGGATCAAGCCACTAGACTATAATACTTTTATAACACAACCATTTCCCTTATAGGAAAGGCCTGAGGAATTTAACAGTGACAAAACAAATGAAGAACTACCAAAAAAAAAAAAAAAAAAAAAAAATCCTTCTGAAGAAGTTTCCCAAGGAGCCTGATGTAACTTCATAGTAAAAGGTTCATTCAAGAGGATATATTCCTGTTTGTATCATCATTTAAATTGCCATAAAAGAAACAGCCAACAGAAGTTCTGTCATTTTACAGATTTAGAGGTTTCCCAAAGCAGACAATTCCCAGCGTTTCCAAGGCTATGCAGCCTGAGTTGGTTTCCTGATGCTGCCTAATTCCTCCAGGTTTCTGCAGGTCTGAGCTGACACAGGTACAGCTCTTTCACTGCATTCCCTGGGAAGAGCAACCCCTTCAATCACCCCGTCCAACACGGCTGGGAACAAATCCCTGCCTGGAAAACACGTGCTGGGTTTCCAGAGGGTGCTGTTAGAAGTGTTAGCAGCATTCCAAGTGCTGCAGTAGACTTCCACACCACAAACACCAACTTTATGTCCTTCACAACTGTTGCACATCTAACAGCCAACAATAAATCTATCTCACTAATTACACATTCAGCTTGTTAGGGCCGCCGTAAAAAAGTACAGCTGCTAAAGCCATGAAATGATGTCAAATCATATTTCTGCTTTCTTGGGAGAAGCAGGGTTATTTTCCAGTCTCCTGATGGAGCTGGCTGTTCAAAGCCATGTGTAGAAACAGCTGCCAACTAGGTCACCCACTTTTAATTAGGTAATGATATTGTCTTCTTTCCCACCCATTTCAAAGTGTTTGACGTTCTGTAATTCAAAGTGACTTGAGTGTTTATCATAAAAAGCTGCCTCAGGAAGAAGCTGAAGCACCTGGTACTAAATCCAAAAGCCAGGGGTTTCTCTTCAGCAGCCAAGTTCAGTCTGTTCAGCCACAGAGTGAGTTACTAAAAAAAAAAATGGAACTGCCTGCATTTCAAGGGGGGTATCTAAAGTAAGGCCAGCTAGATAGGGTTCCTAAATCCCCTTGAAAATGTCAGCTTCAGCAGCTACGTGGGAGGCAGAGCCAGTGTTCTTCATGACGACCCAGACTGACAGTACACAAAATCACTCTTAAAAAGCCATCTGAGACTCACAAGAAAACACTGGTCCAACAAAAAATGTGTTACCTCATTCAGGCTAAAGTTCTGTCTGGCTGCTTGATGCTCTTCCTTGCAGGAGACAGACACTGAAAGCCCATCCTGTCCAGCAGGACAAGCTTTTTGAAAAACAAGGGGCTACTCACACCATGAAAGGGAGGCAAATTAAATTCTCACATGTTCCAAGGAAACACCACAGGACACATTTACCCAAACACGGCGGAATAAAAGCACCTGTTGGAGAAGCTGCCTCGTGAGCTGCCCCCACAGCTCCCCACGCAATCTGGCTGGACAAGCAGTAACGCTGAAAGAATTGAATTTTACCTTCCCATATCTGGATGCAAAGGTTCCCGTGAGTAAGGAGTGAAAAATGATTATCGTCTCATCCAAATCCCACACAAACACGCGCTGCGGTGACAGATGGGGCGGAAAAAAAAAAGTAAAAGAAATATAGTTACATATTAGGCAATTGCAGGAATAGGTTCAGTCAGGAAATATGTCCTGTTGGACTGTGGAGCTTTTTAAGATCTCCAGCCCATTTGGAGCGCTGACTGGAGATGCTTTGTGCGAGCGGGCAAAGGGAAACATCGGGAATTTTGGAACTCTGTGTGTGCTGCTGATCCTGAGAGCCTGCTCTCCCAACCACCACCAAAATCCCTCGTTGCATATCAAGTCAGGGGAACAAAACAGCAGACTCAGAAAAAGCCCAAAGGAAAAGAAGTGGACATATGAAGAACAGCTTGAGACGCTCCTAACGCAGGAATCGAGCGATTGTTTTGACTGCAGCTCTCAGTTATGTGATTTTATCCTGTCTCTGGGATTTGCTATGAGATGCAACTGTTTATCTTTGCTGGGTTTACTAAGGGAATATAAATTCAAGTTATTACCTCAATCTCACTGTCAGCAGTAGGGGAAGGATCGTTGCTTCTTTTTGACCGGGCTCGTACTTTGCCATCTGACCCTCTGTGATGTCTCTCTGTTTCTGTATCTTTTGCTGGTGTTGTTGAATATTCCCCTGTTAGGAAAAAGAAATTCCATTGCAAAAACTTCAGTTTTGCACTGTGCCATTATAATTAAAGCACGAAATCTTCTCTAATGGAGAGCAACAGAAACACCATGAAAACATCGACAGAAAATCTTACTCTTTCCACGTCAGTAGCTAACACTGTTGGAGAAATAAGTTTTAATTCCTAAGGTTTGTTAAAGCAATTTCAAAGATCACCAAGACCACACACATAACACTTTAAAAAGGATGTGTCACTTCAAAAACGTCTATCATGTTTTTGTTGATAAGAAATCCTTTTGGAATTTTCCTCTCCCCACTTCTTTTCAAAGAGAGAAATTAGAAAGGCAATGGAAAAAGAATTCAACTTCTGAAAATATATATTTTTTTAAATATGACGAATGCTCATGATTAAAAATATACTTTCACATCAACTTGTATTTAAAAATACAGAATTAGCCTGTTGAGCCCTACTGCATTTCACAGAGGACAGTATTTTAGAAATAATTGAGAAGAGACAGTTAAAGGTGAACTTCCCATGTATAAAGTATCTGTTTTGATTGGCTTGAGTTTCCTAAACCTGTCTGGTTTTCACTTCCCTTACATTACAAATCCTCTTCAAAGATATTTTTCTTTTCACCTTGCTAAGCTGTGGCCGCTGCAGCTTCCTAAAATAACCATCCTCTTCTTCAGAGAAGCTGGGCTTGTGCCTAACAAGCCTTTTGGAAATCATCCTTTCTCAAAAGGGCTGAGATAAGATCTAAGGAACGGAAAATCCTCCAACTGCTTTTAGGGCTGTCTGTGATCACTTCTTTTTAAAAAACACTATTAGTTTATTTTTCTTTCAGAGCAACCACAGATGTTCAGATTTGTTTCAGAAGTCAGCAGCCCTGCCTTGGGTGTGTTGGGTGATCATCCACAAGTTGTGTGGTGTTTTATATAAATGTTATTGCACACCAATGAAAACTGGTAGGGAAGTGATAACTGAAGACTGCACTTCAACAGTGCACTGGAGGACCATAATCCACCAGTAATTCCATAAACCATTTAAGCTTTAAAATTTTAAAAATTAAGCATTCTAAGAGAGGCCACAAATCTTGAAGCTTTGGTTTTTTGCTTGGAATCCACCCTGAACTTGCAACTTAGACAAATGGTTTGTGTACATTTCTCTCCTAATGAGCTTATTTATGAATGCACAAATTACTTGTTGCTGTAAGAGGTGAATACAAATCTTGACAGAGATATGGGATGAAAAGTCATCAGACATGCAGGAAAATGGGGCTTTGAATTCACTGCTATCCATGTTAGCCCTCAGTGTGCATCTGGGGCTTGTTTTATCTTCCTGTACTACCTTTAGAGGAGATCAAACCCTGCATACTCATGAAAACAACACAGGATGGTTTTAGGGAGCTTGGTCTGAATCTCTTCCCAAGCCCCTGTGCAAGCAGAACTGTTAAGGGCTAGGAAATCTGAGTTACCCATGTAAATACTCCACCAACAAGGTTATAGTGTTTATGCCTACAGGTGGCTGAGACTGGCAGACTGGAGACACAAGAGATGCTCTTACCAGGGAGTGACTCTGTGCTCTGACTGGTGATGTTGTGAGAAGACTCCTGCAGGGAGTAGGTGGAGGTGGGGATGGCCGAGGGGCTGATGCTGTTTGCAGACACGTAGGGAGAGTTGTAGGACGAGCTGTAATACTGGGAGTACTGGCTCTGAGGGAAGCTTGGGTAGGATGAATATTCCTTGGAGGGAAAAAAGGAACGTCTTAAAAACACACAGTTAAGTGCCAGTTATCTTTCGACCGAGTAAGGCACCACAAAAGCAGTGCTATGTGGGAAGCAGTTCAGGAATATTCCACTAAAAGGACTGTATTTCATTCACTTAAAAAAAATGACATTTCTGCTTCTCCCAAATGTGCTCCTATTTGACTGGGATCGGTCGATCAACGGGAGGTCAGAAATCTGGCAAGTTCTGCTTTTTTTCACAGGGTTTTAGTTATCAGGGCTGACACATTTTGCATTACAGAGTTTAGCAATTTTATGTAAGAGTGAAGTAGGGTGGCTCTTTGAATTCCATGCTGGAATACATAATCTCTGTAAACAACAAATTACCTAAGAAACTGCAAGAACAGAACAAATAACTTGGGTGAGGGAAGGAGCCAACAGGCTGCATTTTCCCATGATCAGCAACAATTTCTGATCAGCTTTTAAACTAAAGATATGAAGAGAAAGTAGCAATTGTTTTGCAGCAATGCTCACAAAAGTCTGTCCAACTATCTCAGCAATAACTAAATGCTTGAGTCATCTTCCCTACCTTCAGAAAAATGAACAAAAATTACAAGGTGTGAGTGATCTCAGGAAGCTGAGGTATCAAAAAACCCTTTGTTTTGATTTTAAGGCTTCCAAAAAACTCCACATCTATTACCTTTGTAGCTTTTTTTTTTTTTCTGAAAGAAGCAGGACACTGGAATAGATTATAAAACTTACCTCTGTACAGTTAAAGCATAAAAGAGTTAATATCTTTCTTTATATTTTAATTGCATCTCCTGCTCTCGTCCACTGATTTGCTTTTCCAGATAGAGAACTGTGTTCATGCTCTGAGCATTGCCTTTCAGTAAAAGGTTTTTATATCCTCAGAAATGATAATTAGCCTCTGGTATTAAATAAAATTAAATAATAAATAGTCTGTAGAAAGACTAAAAGCACTCTCCTCCTTTAACAGCTTACATCTTTATCTGTGGCACAGCTATTTCATTAACTTTCAGTCACCAGGGAGCTCTCAAGAGCAAAGACTCAAATTGTCATAAGAACAATTAGACTGCAAAAGAAATGAGATAATTTCATTGTTTTCCCTTGCAGAACATCATAAAATAATGAAAACAGCCCAATTATTTTTTTCCCTTTTTAGGTATTTTTTCCCTTCCATGCTTCAATCAAATGCACTTTCATCAGCAAATGCTGATGTTTTTGGCCAAATTGAAGCAATAAAGAAATTGCCCACTGCTGCCATTGAAAATACAAGTCAACAATCACCTTCCAAACAAGGAACTGAAATTACTGGCCAACCAAAACACATTTTCTGGGACGGTGCACTCATTTGTTTGGGCCAAACAAGAAGAGCCATTTGCTACTGGAAAACATCTGTCCTGTGTATATGTGCACGCTGTTTATTTATACACACACATTTATCAAGGGATCTGAGGCATGAAGCCCACAGACAGGTGTGTTCTCAAAGAAGGGAGTGCACAGACAGCTCAGATGGCTCAATATTCATCAGGACCTGCCAAAAGCCTCTTTCAAACTGTTGTATTTACTGCACAGTGCCAAGACAGCAGACGACAGGACTGCAGAAACAGGGGATGGACAACATATCTGGAAGTTGTAAGATGGCAGAACGATGATGAAACTCTTGGCACTGCTACAGCAGCACAGCAAGAGACCACCAGGGCATCTTCCTCCTGCATGGACTGCACTCTGGGTGTACTGAGACACACATCTCCAAATTAATCAACATATCCAGAAGTCCAGCAAATACAGGAGTAGAGCAGAATGGTTTGCAGCAAAATATACAGCAATACCTCCCTGAAATGGGCCTGAACCCTGGAATAATCTCTCTGATCTGCAAATCTTCCAGGTGTTTAAAACAAGTGTCGAGGCTGCCAGTGAGAGGTGTTGAACCATACCTGATGCACAGCACTGAATCCGGCAGAATTTGTCAGGCCATTGGCTCCCTGGTAAATCCCTGCTGTGCCTAAGGGAAAGAATATCACAGTCAGGAAACACACCAGCAATTAAAGCAACAGGATGCATTAATACAAATAATTTCCAACAGGAAGTTAAGTACCAGATCACTAGAGAGAAGTACGGCACAAATCTTAGGCTGTAAAGACTTTGGGCTCTACTGGGGTTTGCTGATTGAAAGGCATTCATTACATACACTAAAACATTGCTTATTGGGCTGGGAAACAAAGCTGGGACACAAGGATTTAAAATCCAGTTACTTCTTTTTCCAATAAGTAACCGAATAGTGTTTTTTTAATCATCATCTGTAGGAAAACCCCTCAGATCACGTATAGAACCTCCCACAAGTGCTCCTTCATGACTTTGGTGCTGCATGGCTGCTCTGGGCTCTCGTCTGGGCTTCATTCCATCACCTCAATGTACCATCAGACTGAGCCCTGCTCAGGCCCTCAGCCTTTTTAGGTTTTTTTTGTCTTATCTGGCTTCTCACCATGTAAATGACTGAGCAGTGCTGTCTGAACCATCTGACACTCTGCACGTCTTCATGGGGCAGCCACTCTCCCAAGATCCACTTGCTTGTTTTTATTTTAGGACACCAGATTAGCTGGGGAATGGACAGCTGAACAAACTCCACTCTGCCAAGTGCAGCTACAAAGCACATGCACTGAGAAATAAATCTCAAGCCAAAAAGAAATGAGAGAGAGAGAGGCTCTGCCCTCCAGAACTAATTTGTTGACACATGTGGCCTTTAAAAAGAAAAGGGTGGAGGAAAACAGAGTGTAGGTGACTGCCAGGTACCTGGAGGCCCCCTGCACACCCTGGCTGGGGAGCTGAGCCAGCACAGGTGGGCTCAGGTGATGCCCTGGAGGCAGCTCTGGGTGGATCAGTGTCCAATCCCTCCTCCTTCCCACAACCCACCCCGGGGGACTGCCCAGGGCAGCACCCTGCAGACAGCACCACGCTCAGCTCTTGGCATCTCCCCACTCCCCACCCACGCTTGGCTTCTGCAGTTTTTCAGAAAGCCAGGGCTGTGCAGCAGGATGAATTTATTCCTGTGGTAACTGAGCACTCCTCACCACTGTGAAGGAGAGCAATAGAGCCCCAGTGCTTACAGGCAGAAACAACTTCCACAGAAGACAAAACAGCTCTTGTACACCAGAGCTCAAAACAATACAGGGGGGAATTTTTGATTTTCCTGAACTGTCATTTAGAAACAATCCATCATCCTTTATTAAAGCTGTCAAGAGGGGGATGAGTTACCTCGAGGGACTCACGCTTTATGTGTAAATTGTGATGAGAACATGTTTATTGCTGTGCTACCTGCACACAATGATACTGTAGCGTCCTGGTTTCCAAACAATCAGAGAGAATTAGAAAAAGGAGAGATCTGCACAGTTGGAATTAACTTAATCTGCACTTTGCACCAAGCTGTGCAGGGCGGGTGTGTCCATGCACACACAGGGCAGGTGAGTGAGCAGGGAGCAGAGGGTGGAAATGCAGGGCTGAGAGGATGGGGACTGACTCTTGCTCCACAGCTTCCCTCAGTGACCAGACCCAGCCTGGTGGATTTTGCACTGTGGTTTTGTATAACATTTTTTTGTCATTTTAGCTGAACTACCCAAGTTCAGGTGTCCCTACAGGCTCCTCCTGCCCAGGGGATTTTCCAAAGGAAGGACTGTGGTGCAGAGACAGAAACTTAAACTTCCTGACTTCTTTTTTTTTTTACCTGCATACTTAAATACTTTGCCAGAGTGCTTAAGGCTGGTATTTCCTATAAACTGAAGTTCAACAAGCCTGGCAACTCAGTTTTTTTCTCTTCTCTGTTCCTGTCATTGTACACTGACAAAGAAGGAGTATCACTTGAGCACAGTTTGTCTAAACTGAGATCAAACACAACTCTTTTTCTTGCCCTACAACACCACATTCAAAGGATGGAAACCTCTCCCCGGGGTACACCTTGAGAGCTAATAAGCTCACTGTATCTTGGCAGCTCAGTGTTGTTACAGCAGAATAATTACAGATAAGGACACTCCAGACAACCAAACAACCCAAGTTAGTAAACATTTCAAATTTCTTCCCAAGAAAAAGGGGGCAAAACTGGGAGAAAAATAAAATAAAATCAATTATCTGCATAAAGAAAGTTCTTAAAAGATTCAGGTTCAGCAATATTCCATTTCAACATCAGCCTCTATCCTGGGGACTGCTGTAGCTCCAGTCCCTGTGCCATTCACAGGCCAGACTGGAGAGACTCTTTTCAACAAAGCACCCTCGGTTCAAATGCCTGGAAAACAAACAAGTGCCACAGGCAAGGAAGACAAAGATAAACCCTCTCACTCCAGGAGCAGAGAATGAAGCCTGCTGGTCACATTTTCTGTGAACAGTTTTGTAGAATTCAGCAGCTCAGAACACGTATCAGAACTGGCCCCAAATGTTTGCTTTTCTTCTCTAAGTTGTTGATAAGAAATAAACACTTCCATAACAAAATGAACTCTGCCACGAGCAATTTCACTTTTGCATCAGTAAATTTTACACTCAAGAAACTGGAAAACCATCAACAGACACTGCATGCCATCAATTCAGCCCTTTTCCTCATGCAATCACCTTTTTTTTTCCCCCAAATGCTTTCCCAGGTACTAACACTAATTGTAACATTCAGAGACAGACTGGAATGACATCAGAAGGCAGTGCTGTGTGGAATGGGGCATCTCTAGGAAGCCTCTTGGTAAGCAAAGTACAGAAATGCCTGGTTCCCTCCCATTTCTGAGGGGATACTGCCCATTTCCACAGGACTTCTGCTTTCACATAGAGCAACTTTGTTTCCCTGACATCAGAAGACAGCCCATGATCTCAAACTCAGGGCTGATTTTACATTTCCAGTACTGTAGATGCCTGAGCAAGAGATTTGTTCCCATCTATCTTGGTAACTCAACATCAAGCAACTGCATTCAAACTCCTCCTAGCAAATCAGAAACAAGCCTAGGATCTCTCCCTTTGGATCTTCTCCATATGGAATATGGCTCACATCTGCCTTCAATCAAGCCAGTTGCTAAATGTCACAATGCCCTCATTCACAGGTAGCTTAAAGAACATTTAGCTCATAATAAAACAATCTGGACTCTAAAGTAGAACAGCCCTTCAGATGTACAGTTCTGTAAGGGTTCCTGTGAACTGTGTCTATCCCAAACACTCCTGCCTGGAAAGGCACCCCACAAAAGCTGTGCATGTGCCAGGCATACTCAGTGCCACGAATTTTCCTTGATAAGTAGATGTGGCCCTTCTCTTCAGGAGTGTCCAAGGGCAACATGTACAGAGAAACCCTTTGTGAGCTGATTGATGTTATAGCCCTGCTCTCATACACATGGATTTCATTTGCCATTTCCCCTTCATTCACTTTTTAATTCAAGCATTTTAAAAATCTCTGCCATGCTCAGTGACGCTCTCAATGGTGTGTGATCTGGCCTGTGTCCCTGCAAAAACTCCCATGCCAGCTTCTCACCCTCTCAGTTCCTATATTTGTCTTTCAGTCACTGCAATAACTGAATTTCTTCCCCTCCTTGCCAGGTATGAGCAAGTAAAGAAAAGAAGGGAATATTCATGATTATTTTCAGGACATTCAGAACAAAGCTCTGGCATTGCTAAAGGAAAGTTTTCTTTCACTTTAGGAATAACACAGTGTGATATAGGAATAGTGGTGCCTTAGGGAGTGGTGATCATGGAGACAGGATGGGCCTGACATCAGGGACGTGTTCTCCAAGCCTCCTGTACTGCTCCAATTGGAATAAGCTTCTATCTTTAGAAAAACTGATGGTTTGCTCTTCCAGCACTCAGTGAAATACTCAACAGTCAGAGGAGGAGGTTCAACACAGGAGGACAGTCTGAGGGTTTATCACAACTCTCTAGAACAGCCAGCAGCAACTGGGAGGCCAGGAACACTTACTTAGAAGATGGAACACTGAGGGTGACTACCACAGGCACTTCTGAATATGTTTGTGCCATGGTTTAACCTTCCCCAAAAACCAGAATAACAGAGCTTAGATCCAAGCATTTCCTCTCGCTTGTGGATGAACAGCACAGCGGTTCCACAGAGAGTTCTCTCAAAGGATTATTTGATCATTTAGGACTAATAAAATAAATGCCTGCAGGGGTCAGCTGATTTCCATGGCATTTTACAAAGCCTGCATATAATGGCTCGTGCACTCTGACATCAGCAAGCTGCTTTCCTCCAGGAAGCAACGCTGCCTGTGAGGGATGCAGGCAAAGGCCCTGCAGGGTGGTGTTACTCTGTGCTGGGAAGAACATCTGGCTGAAAAGACTTGCATGGTCACTCAGAGGGGTTCTTTGCAGTGCTTTAGCTCTCTGACAAGCTAATGTTTCCTGCAGTAAATAACTGCCTTCTCCAAGCTGCTACTTTTTTAGTGAGAGGTTAAGCACTCATCGGAATTACCTCCCACCAGCTATACTCCAGTGCCTTGTAAGGTTCCAAATCCTACAACATCTGCCTGCATTTACTGGGCAAGAAGACTCATAAAATGTTGCATGGCTGTCAGCTGTGGAGGTATTTCAAGACTATCTGAGCTGTTAAAGGAGAACAAAAACTCAACCCATATGTACTTTGCAGCCTATTGCTCAACTGTTTGCCATCAGACGTAATGAACCCTTCCCCAAAACGTCTTGTATTTCTGTCTGGAAGGGCTCAGACAGTGCAGGGAAGAGCACACTGTATTAACCTGGGTGGAAAGCATGATTCTACAACGTTACAGCACTTGACATCAGCAGTGTCTGTTAAAGCACATTGCTCCCAGAAGCATCCAACTCCTGCAGATAACACTCTCAGACACCCAACCCACTCAAAGTATGTCCATTTGTCCCCCACCACAATCCCAGGCAGGCCTGTGGGCCTGACCAGGTGTTTGAGGGCACTCTGAATAGTGATATAAAACACATTTCAAGGCACAGATTTTCTGAGCCAAAGCTCTTCCCCTGCTGCTGCTCCTGGGAGTGCTCAGCCCA